GGGGGGGGGGGGGGGGGGGGGGGGGGAGAGGGAATGAGAGAGAGAGAGAGAGAGAGAGAAACACCGAAAGCCATTTATTAAACCGGCAAAATACTCTGCTAGGACTCTCAACTCTCCAAAAGGATAGTTTGCCTTGAGGCTGGGGATGCGGTGAATAATAGGTAAGGGTGCTGTCGTACCTTCTCTCACTTTCCTACATGCGTTCCGGGGTTTGGGGGATGAGATGTTAGGCGGCTGGAATGGATTTTTGTACTGTAGCACGTTTGCAAATATGGAGTGCATATATTCAGGGCTTTTTTGCTCTTCGTTTTGTCCCGGTTCTCCCTTATCCTTCCTCCTAAAAGTGTGTGTGTGAGAGAGAGAAAGTCAGCACGGGCGGGCGACCCTGATATCCTGAGACTCAGTTTTCAAATCATGGGGAACGTTCTTGCCACGCGGATCCAGAAGACCGCAGTTCCAACCAGTTCTCCCGATATCCCAAAGATAGACCTGCGTGCGGGTCAACTTTCCCTTCCTGGAAGGACCGGGCACGAGCCGAGGTGGTGGTTCACACGCACCTTAGCCTCTGAGGTCTAAAGGAGAGTGAATTTGGAGTCTTTTCTCTCTCCGTCCGCGCAGACAGAACCTCAAGCCGGTTCTCTTTGCGCGTTTCAGCCGCGCTTTCGGCCTTTGCTCGGCTCGGAGGCAATCCGCGGAGTTTCCGAGCCCAAGACGCCGCGCCTCCGGGTCAAAGTTAGGTTTTTTAGCGCTGGTCTCCCCGCCCACCTCTGATCGATAGCTTGGTGAGAGGTCAGAAAGTTAAGAAAAGTTGAGAATAGCGAGCTACGATTTTGCTCTTCGCAGGCGATTACTTTTCCTCTTGTTCATTGAAAGATGTTTCCCAGATTTTAAAAAATAAGTTGAGGTGGGTTTTTCTTGGGGGGGGGGAGTTAAAATCGAGGAGGAAGGCAGCCTTAAGAAGATGAATTCTTCAAACTTTTTTTTTTTATTCATTCGGGCCTTGTTTGCAGAAGATTGGCGATCTGTTCAATTAATTGAATATTTTAAACAATCCCTGGCGTCCTTTCCCCTCTTCGGGGGCGGGGGCTTTTTTTTTTTTTTTTTTAATACCGAAAATAAGAACTGAGTTAAAACAAAATCCAGTTTACTCATCTCCCTTTTAAACCTCGACAGCGCCACCTTTCGCCACAGACCAGTTTCATACTGAACCGCTTCCAATTTTCTAGATAGAAAAAAATCCATACTAGAAATGTGTTTAAGAAAAAAAGTTAAGAGCTCCTAGCGTCTGCACGACAGTCTGACATTAACTCTTTCAAGTCAGAGGAATGTTCATGGCTTAGCCAGATCGCCCGTTTTGGGGGTTGAATATAATAACAGGAGGTGTGTTTTACAACACTTCCTACCTATAGAATTTCTCCCCTTAGGACACGGTCTGCAAGGTATTTCTAGAAAGTGGGAACGAAAGGGGAGACAGTTCTTGTTAGCCCGGATACTTCGTGGAGTTGTCTTTCTGTTTCTCTCTCTCTTTCTGTGAGATAAAGACAAAAATCTTTCAAACTTCCAGCCTTGATTTTCAACTGACTTTATGGCAACCTCAATAGAATTAAAGTTACTAGTAATTTGGTGATAAATGTGATCTCTCTAGTAAGTAAGATTAAGTGTAGTGCTATAAAGTTGTTTATCTGAAAAGTAATTCTCAGAAATCTGACTCTTGACACTTAGTCATATATTAAACCAGCCTTCTGAACATTGTACTTGGGTACATTGGCTTCAACTATTCCCTTCCCCCCCCCCCTCCCCGAATTTCCTACTGAAAAATCTTTGCCTTATTCTAAGGATCTGCCTTGAAGAGTCATTTCCAATAGCATCAAAATCTGAAGTTGGCAAAGAAAAGACAGGCTTTGTGTACCCTGACATTCCTCAGCCTTGACAGCCAGGATTCATATGATCAAGCTGTGTTAACTGGTAATAATGAAAGCAGTTTGAAAGAGAGAGCTGGGCTGTTGGGTGTGTCACAAATTGGTTGGGGAAGCATCCACATGCTTTCAGGGATGGATTACCAGAACACTTTACCGGAAGAACCTAAAAATGATGGTTTCCAGCGTAAGTTAAAAACATGGTATTTATGAGAAGGTTACTATGATGTCTCCAATTTGATTTCTGATCGGGGAGGGGGTTCAACAGAAATGATCAGCCTAAGCAGTCACTCATGCCATCATGACCATGCACATCATGGCAATCTCGTACACTCTCCTTGCTTTCTTCTGAGCAGAGCACGATAAATCATTTCATTTTGGGGCTGCCACAAATTACAGACGTGTCACTACTTTTAAATGAGAAGCGGTTGCTTTTGGGAGTGGACGCTCGAAGGGGTTCCCTTGAATTAGATGCACTCCCATTGGAACATGCTACATTTACAAAATGAGGGCTCCCTGTTTCGGACCCCGGTTAGCTCTGATGGATAAAACAGGGAATGCAAACCCACGCGTGGCTAGCACAATCTGCGCTGAGATACACCAGTGCAAAGGAGGGCAATAAACATGACTGAGTTCAGGCCTCCAAAATATTAAGACAAAGTACCGGTGATGCTAGATTGAGCTTATTAACTTAGTAAAGATGATGGAACTGTCAAATATTGGCTGCTATGTAGCACATCAGAACAGACAATGAGAAGTTTAAAATGAGAAGCCTTCTCATTCTCTTCTTCCTGTACTCTGTTCCTCTCACTTTGGCAGGATTTTCCTGTAGTATTCAGCGGCTCACAAGGAGCATCTGAACAATTCCCAGGTAGGACTGGGTTTCTCCTGCACCAATTACACATTTTCATTTCAGTTAGAAGCATTCAGGCCACCGACTTCTCCAAGGCACCAACAGCTCAATTCGCTTAGCCTGCCCACCGCCTCTTTGGGTTGTGTTTCCTTGACTTGAAAGGTGTTTATTCAGCCAACTGCCTTGAATGTTCTCTCCACTTTTCAAGAACTTGGCTTTTTGGAGAAAGCAGGGCTTCTGAGAGCTTCAGTTAGGAACGGTCCCCAAAAGATGCATGTGTGTATGTGTGTGTGTGTGTACGCTCATAGGCAGATGTACAGAATTCTGTAAAATAAGCACAATCAGTGGCTGTTGTACGTAGAGCACCCTCATCTCACACCACGTCAGTGATAAATTAAAAAAAAAAGTCTCAAGTGTGTATTTTCATGACTTCCTTCGCTGAGTAAACAAGCAAGGGAAGGCTTAGAAACGAAGCCAGTAGAAGTCCTGAGAGTTATATTGACTTTCAGTGTCATTTGCTATGACTTAAACAAACTCATCTATCAAGGCCAACACATTAAGTACAGTCACTGCACCTTGTGTTTATCCAGCGCCTATTTTATGGTGCAGAACTGAGTGGTGTCCCCTGAATTTAAGTATGAAAAGCCACCAAATTGATTTCCCAAAGCCGAGTGACAAAGGCTGAAGACATCAACTGCTCTTAGGCGCAGAGCTAGATAAATCCTTTTAACAGTGCTTCAGATCCGTTAACAGGGCCACAAATAACAAATCACTGTTAGCAGATTTATGGGAAAGAAATAATAGAATCAGATGAGATAATCTGATAGGGGTAAAATTGCTGAGGAAACAAATCCTACTTCACATCCATGGCTATGAAACAGCACTGTGATAACTAGAAGTCATTACAAATAGGTGAATTATGATGGAAATAATCGTTCTTGTAATTCAATATTTATTCGTCTTTTTTTTTCTTTAAATAAGTTGCAGATGACCCCAAAAAACCCTCTCCCTCTCTTTGAAGATCCTACACACCCACTTACTAAATTACATTCAGTAAAAGGTGTGTATGTGTGTATTTGTTTTATCTGTATTTTGGTTCATAACTAAACATTTTGTATTCAGATTTATGTAATGCATTAGGCCTGCAAACATATTTCTGCCTGATTAGCATAAATAGTCACTTCATGAATTACTAACAAAGTTGATCTGAAAAATATTGGCGCATTATTTTATTAAGTAGAACGCAAACATATGTCCAATAAATTCTAGTTTGCTTGTGGCAGGAAGGGATACACAGATACCCAGTCAGTTGTATCTCACTGTGGGTAAGTGGAAAAAAATAAGATGAGTTAATCTGTGTGTATGAACTTAATTTGCCTTGTCAACCTTTCGGTTTGTATTTAATAAATAGGAATGTCCAGGTCTATTTCAGAATCACAATACAAGGAGAGAGTGTAGTTAAATCCCCCATGCAATTTCTCCTGCTTAATTTCTTCTATGGATTGCATCATCTGGAGATAGAATTTGACTTCTTAATTTTGTGACAAATTCTGTTTCCTATTTGGGTGAATTAGCAATTTGGTCTGATTTTAGCAAATTAGGCTCAAACTGAATGGAAATGATGCCTAATTTCTATTATATCTTCTTTACTGAAGCTGTGTGGCCTCCATTCTGTACAGATGTGTACATTACTAAACATGCATAATTACATGTTGGGTCACAGTGCCTCAAATTTAAGCAGCAATGCTAGATTTGGAGAGTCTATATAGTTTGGAAGTTTCTTGTCTCCCTTTTGTAAGGCTTAGCCAATTAAACTGAATCAAGAACTTTAATCTTTGAGTATATCTAGAAGCAGATCCCAGGAACTTCAAGCATGGTTTACTTTTTGCCAGCTGCTTGAAGACAACACAACTTTCACTGAACAAGGATTTCTTAAGGCAGGGAATAGAGACGGGAGGGGTGTTGAAGGAGGGAAATTCAAACTGATCAATCATTATTTGTTTGTGCTCTGATTAGACTTCCTCCAATTATCCTATAATACCTCTTTAGCATAGAACTAAATCCTAATTGAAGTCAGTTTCAGATATGGATTAATGTAAATTCTTTGATTAGGGTAAATAAGTCTAGGAACTAGGAAAGGAAGGCTGAATTTGCTGAAGGTTCCTGTCTAATGGAGTATTTTTTATGGTGAAAGGGGAGTGGACCATCAATTTCCTTTGCAGTTTGCCATCACCCCACCAAAGACTTCTCTGCTAGAAGATTAGGAAAGCAGTGCGAGTGCAGAGAATTGGAGGAATTGAAATAGATCAACTCCTTTTTTCAGTGGGAATGTTCTGAGCAATACTAGGAAATGTTCTTGGTGGTAGTATCCAATCCACTGCCTTTAAAGGCAATCACAGATCCTCCCTGAGATAAATGTAAAGCAGAGTAAAGTGTACATATTAAAAAGAATCTATGATCAGTATTGTATCCAGAGAAATATTTGGTATTTTTTCTATTTCTTGCATTTGCTGAGTCTGATCCATTTTTCTGCCTATAAATCTCCAACTGTTAGAAAACGAAGCGTATTTATAATTTCCTTTCCAGGCCCAGAAGTGTACCTAAAAAAATCAAATTAATACCATTATTTCCCTTTCTCTCTCTCTCTGTCCATTACATCATTTCCAATTTCGTAAATAAGTTTTCCCATCACCTCTTTTGTTAGGGCTTCCACATCTGGGTTATGAAACTTGGAATGATCACTAGACAGCAGCAAAGAGATTAAAAAAAAAATTCTAACCCTTTGCTTCTATATAATGGTCATTTGGGGCTTTGATGCCCAGAGCTGGTAGTTCTAATCTTAACTAAGTATTTTTTTTTGGTGAGGGAAACGTATCATGTCCCAGTTTTATGATAAACTTTGTTTTAAAATAAGTTTGTTTTCACTCTTCAGTTTTTACAGTTTGCTTATCTACTCCATGGAATATTTATTGTTCACTAAATTCCATTTCAGTTGCTGAATAATTTGTGTTATTTTTATGGAATCTCTGCTTTCTATTTAACATTAGAAAAATTAATATTCTTGGATTTCTTTTCTTTTAAATGGAACATAAATGATCACTAGTAAAGAGGTATCTCTAGAACACAATGTTGTCAAATAGAGAATGATGGTTCTCAATCATGGTTAGATTCTGGAAATATTCCAGATTGCATGTATTTCTGAACTATGAAAAAACAAGATGATGATGATCAATACGAAGACTATTTAGTCTTTGGAACACGGGTTAGAAATCCTGATTCTAATCCGATTCTTGCTAATATGTTAGACATATTCCTGAATTATTATTGTTTGAGGATAAATTCAGCAATTGGCAGCAGTTCTACATTCTGTGCAGGGAAAACAGCAAATCTGCTAAATCTGCAGATCAAATGAAAGGAGTCAGTAACAAACAGCCTCTGATTGCTAATTCCTATATAAAATCTTCTATGTATGAATTTCTTAAAACACAGATTTTATTCTGTCAATTGCCCAAAGGCATGATGGAGTTGAGTGGCCTATCCATCAAATCAAATCAGATCAATCAATAAAACTGAAGTAGAGACAGAACCATTGAGGGATCACTTGCTTTCTGTAGTCCTACCTGAATGTCTGAATGACTCCTTTGTGTAAATGTGACATTACAATATAGTGTTTATTGCATATCGGTCTACAAAACGTCTATCCCAAATCCAGCCCTAAATTCATATCAACATCACAGTTTGGGCACAAATGTCAGTTTTGGAACCCAGATAACACCTAAGTTCACAATATGTAAATGGTAGACTATAGAATAACTTATCTTAGATATCATAGGTGAACACCAGGAACAAGTATGCTATGAACTGTTAGAATTAGGGCATTTCCCCCTACGTACTCAGGAAACAGGTTGGAAGCAGAGTAAGAACCTTCAGAGATGGGGCAGTGTTTGGGGACCAGCTACAAAATCTTGCTAAGCAGCTTGTGGGCCTCATGAAAGACCCCAAACACACATACCATCTGTAGTCAGCAGTTTGATGCAAAATATCTCACTCTAGGAATAATAGTGGAGAGAATTGATAATCCATGGGTTTAGGAATGTCCTAAATGCCCCCACACACACACCATTTCTCTGTGCATAACTCAGAAAAACCTTTTTTCCAGGATCATTGGGTACTATACCTGTTTGGATGTTTGGAGATGAAAGGTGACAGAAGCACTAAATCTCTGCCACCGTTTAGTGGCTGTCCAGATTTATGCAGCACAGATCTGGTTGCACAAATGATAAAATGTGTTAAGATTACATTATATGCAAATAAGGGTCCTCTATCTTTACTGCCATGGCTACAACCTCACTCTGACATTACATCCAGCCTGGCAAGGTGGCCAATCAAGGGGACAGAAGACCCCAATTTGCATAATTAAAGCAAAGGATACAGCAGTTTTTCCTAGAAGGATACCATAAAGAGTCAGCGGCTGATTCGCATAACGTGCTAAGTCATAAAATCCTTTCTCTGGTTCTGCCTTAATATGTTGATTGCATATTTGGCCATTGCTGTTTGTGGTTCATGGTTTACTATGCTGTGAAGTTCAGCCAATAGTGGATTATTCCATAAATCATAGTTGTTTATTTTCTTCAACTCTGGGCAGTCTACAGGTTGAACAAGTTATAGCTAAGAATGATGTGCAAACCTACTCAATAACGTTTACACTTGCAGGACTGGCTAACTACATCTCTGTAGGGAATAGGCTTGAGGAGGAAGTATTGGTCCCATTCTGTCTCCCCAGATCCCTTTTTTCAGTTATCATGCAGAAATGGTGGTACCAGCACCATTGGCTGGGAAACTAGCTTTGAAAGTAACACCTCCCTTCTCTGAGTTGTGGCCAGGTAACACAGTGATGAATAATCCAAAGTCAACTTCCACAAAAATCACTTTTTCCAAGACTAGAATATATATTACTGAACATGTGTCACCCCTTAGAGGTAGTCCAGACAAGAAGCTCCAACCATGAGTAGCAACACTACTTTTATTGTAAGGTTACAGTAAAAGAATTTTGCAAGTCTGAAAGTACATCTCTCCCCGCTCATCTTCTTGGTCCAAGAAACTAGGGAGGGTCCCTTCTGAGACATTTGCCAAGCCCCCATTCCTTCTGTGGGCTCAGCTGCCTCTTATCTGATCATTGCCTAGACTGTTGCTCCTCTTCCTCCTCCTCCTGTGTCTCAAGGACATTCTCAGAGACCATTACAGCATCTTCCTAAAAGTCCCTACTTCAGGGGATAAATGCTGGAGTTCCTTCAAGTTATATTAGGACAACACTACCAAATCTGATCATGGGCCAGAGTGAATATTTTGGGCTGGTTGCTAATTAATGTTAATTCCCTAAAATGTGGCTAGTGTGTGTATGTGCGTAGGGATACAGTGTCCTCCCATCAAATTGATTGTTTGAGAGCTATGTTGCTGGTTGTGATCTGATGCTCTTTTGCAAACAGCATTTTCTAGTTATGTCAAGCAATCAAATGGGAGTGTGGTTAAATCCTGGATAATGTATTTGCACTAACTACAAAGCAGGCAAAGCAGGCAGGAGGGAAAGGTGTGATTGTCTGAAAATGAATGTCTTTGTAAAAACACAGAAATATGGGACATGGATGGAAATTCCCCCCGAAAGAGAGATATTTGCAATGTTGTTTAAAAAGCATGTGCACCTTAAAAGAAAGATATAGAAAAACACATACCAGTTGTTATATACATTTATTTTAAACAGCTTTTACATCGATGCAGAAATAGAATGGGGTGAATGTAAGACTGGAAAATGGGAAGCTGTGAGTAAGTGAAATGAATGAATCTATTTAAACCTAGGGGCTGAGAGGTCATGTTTTTAACCCTATCCTGTTTAACACAATTTTGTCCCTCTCTAGACAATGCCGTTTCCTTTGTGTATGTCTGTATTGATCAAATTTCATAAATTGTTTTCACATGCTGCAGGCCTGAAATTTCAGCAGGCAACTCAGTGCATATCAACTCAAGGACTTATCAGCAAAAGATGCAATTTCAGCACCCCATTTACTTCCTGCTAGGGCTAATTATAAGGAGCATAAGATGAACAGACAAGATTAAAAAAAAATATCAGCACTGTATTGAAATCTGTCTTCCAACTTCTCAAAAAGTTTCTTCCCTTCTGAAACAGTTTTGCTTCTCTCCCTAATTCTCATGGAGCTTTAGAACATAGCCATGGAACCTGCAGCCTGTAGGGGTTGCTACATTACAACTCCCAGAACCATGAGTGTCTGGTAGAAGCCATAATGATGTCATGTGCACCATGATGTCATTGTAGAAATGGCATGAATTATGCAATTTGCATCAGTTGCATCACAACAATAGGTTTGTGTAATTTGCACAGTGACATGGTGTCATATCACTTGCCCTCAGCCAGAATTCTACACTGATAGCCGTGCTGGCTTGATTTGTGGGCAGCTGTTGAATGGTATTTAGATGACCATAGATTCTCCTCTCGTGAGTGAGTGAGTCTGTCTGTCTGTCTTTCTTTCTTTGGTATATGTCTATGTGTGTGTTTTAAAAGCATGTTCAATTATGGCAAATTGGTGAAATATGCTGGCAATTTTTATTTTTCTGTTATAGACTGCTCCATCACTGCAAATGCAGAGATTCCCTGCATTTCCTGATGTGAAAAATTTCCCTGGGAAGTGGGCAGGGGGGAGGAGGATCTAAAGAGGCAAGAAGACAGATGTGGCATCCAGCGAAATTGCTCCTTTTGTACATGTCTCAATAGTGCACACATGTAGGAAAAGGACAGGGTTTGCTTCTCGTCACCATACCTACCACCTCAATGGTTTTTATTGCCCCTCACCTCCTGGCCGTTGATGCTGTTAGGAAGAATTCTTCCCTGGGGTTTCCCCCTAGGATTTATTGGAGGTGTGGGAAGCCAGAAGACCACTGACCATGGAAAGAGGTTTGTGCATTACAAGTGAGAACACTGTTCCACCCTTCTTGAACATAATGTCACTATGGTAGATGGCAGAACATTGGGTCCCACCCCTGAGATTTAACAAAAATGTCCCCTCCTTTGCAGGGGGGAAAAAGTTCAGTAGCAATTTTATTTTCCATGAATTTGAATGAAAATAGGGGGGAAAGGCAGAAGGAATTCACGGCATAGTGGTGAGTTTTATTTTATGGTAAAGTTTTTTTTTTTTTTTCACTGCATGAAAAGTCATTTGGGTCAACATCCAGTTCTAGCAAAGGTACTTCCAACCTTTGGTATTGGCAGGACACTCCAAACTGCTGTTCCTTCATTAATAATGGAAATAAACAGCCTTGTGTATTTTCCTTCTGTCGCTTTGACAAAGTGAACTTCACATCCAGCAGTTGTCCTGAGTCTGATCTTTGGGTCAGAAGTACAAGTGTTTTAATGGCCATGGTGTTCATTTTTTTTTCTTCCCCAGATCCAACTGGAATGATTCACAGGCTTTTATCTTCCCGGTCACCTGTTTGGGGAACAATGGAACGATCGTCTTCATGAGCTTCGGATGGGAAGTGGCCCGCTTTATAGTCAATAGCACTTCCTCCCAGGTGGAAGAGTTCTGGAATTGTTTTCATGATTGCATCAATGAGGTTGGCTAATTCCCTGCGGAAACGTTTCTGAGTAACATATAAAGGTGGGCCAGCAGAAGACTTCTGAGCACATGATCCATATTGATGCATGCAAGGAAGCTCTGCTGTGCAGGCCAGAGATCATGTCATGTGTTTTCTCATGGTATCACTTTTGGACTGAGGACAGGCCTGCAGAGCATTTTTATTTTAACTGGTCAACTTAACTGAAAGTCTAAAGTTCTTTGTGTCCTTTGTTTCTCATAGGAAATTGTGCTTCTGATGCCCGGCCATTTGCTACTGAATTCTGGTGGTGCAATCATGGGGATCTGCGGTGAGCCCCAGAAAGCAGCTTCACTGTCATAGAAGTCCTGCCCTGATTTAGAAGACAGCTAGAAATCTCTCTGTGTATTTGTAAATGAATTGCACTTCTAGCAGCTGTAAGATCCACACATCTGGAAGAAACAGAGGCAGGAAGAGAAACAGACTGCCAAAAGCTGGCTGAAAGCATCTTGAGGAATCTCTCAGGGAGTATGAGATGAGGGTAACGCAGGGGTGCAGAAAGTGTGGCCTGGTTACTACATGTGGCGTTTGTGTATGGAGTTAGAAGGGTTTAAGAACAAAGTAGGTGTGTAAATCTTGCTGTCCAAGGCACCCAATTTATCCCTTAGAACCTCTGAGCCAACACCCTGGTTGGATCTACTGCCCTCCACTTTTGGAATGCTGCCTTCAACATGCCACTCAAAGCCTATCACAGCCCCCAAACCAGCAAAGTAGTGCACCTCTGGCATAATGGATCTGCCACCTTGTAAACTCCTGGGTGTCATGCCAGAATCAAGCATATTAAAAACAATGAATCCCACAATAAAATTACATCAATACTTGCCACTTGAGGCATGGCATATTTACTTTTTAAAAAATGCACAACTTGGCTTTGTTGGAAAAGATTGAAAAGAAAAATGCATTTAAAGTCTTCTTCAAGGATGGCAGTTCAAATATTCTTCTGGGTGTGAGTGCCATGTAAGCAGCCTCACCAAAGTCCAGCTTCAAAGGGCAGTCAATTAAAATGCCTGCCATCAAAGACAGGTCTTCCCAGTGGTACTAATCTTACTCATATATTTGCAAACAAAGAAGATAGCATTTATTAGTCTTCCTCAAATATCCTGCTTTCCAGAAGAGATGATTGAGAGAATTCCCATCATTTCCAGACAACATCCAATGATGTTTCCTCCATTTTTAGGGAGTAAGAACAGCATTACCACATTAGGATCCACCCACAAGAATGTTTGAACTCCTTCTGTCTGGTCATGGCCCAATCGGAGCTTGAACCTTTGTCCAGTTCTAGGTACCACAGTGATCACACTTAAAAAAAAATGTTCTAACAAACTCAAAGTAGTTCAAGGAAGGTTTAAGGAGGTGGATGCTCTGGAAGCTGATTTCTGTGAGGAGCAACTGGGGAACTGGGCATAATTAGCTTTAAGAAAAGATGATTGGAAGAGGAGTAATAACTCTGTTCAAGTATCTGAAGAAGTATCTTACAGATAAAGGTCATGACCCAGAATGCAGGAACATGGAATAATGACCTTCTGCCTTATAGGAATGCAGTTTCTGGTTGAATGTTAGGAAAAAGACTGTTGTTGACAGGAGCAGTTGAACTGGTGAGTCAGTTATCTAGGTTCCCCTTCATTGGATGTGTTCACGTGGAGACTGGATAACCATCTGTCAGGGATGTTTGAATGGATTAGTCCCTGCAGTTTCCTTGGCAAGATTTCAGAAGTGGCTTGCCACTGCCTCCTTCCTGGGGCTGAGAGAGAAGGACTGGCTCAAGGTCAACCCAGCTGGCTTTGTGCCTAAGGCAGGACTAGAATTCACGGTCTCCTGGTTTCTAGCCTGATGCCTTAAACAGTACACCAAACTGGCTCTCACAGATAGTAACTTGCACTTTTTAGTGAAACTAAATAGAACTGCAGTATTTTGGAATATAGATGGGAGACAGACCAAAAACGCAGGGGTTGCAGAATGAGAACTGGAACACCTGAACACATCTTCTAATATACCATAAGTGGAAAAAGAGATTGGCTCATAAATTATTATTCTCCTAGAAAGCATCACATTTACGAGTTCAACTTCATTGGTCTAATCCATTTTCCTATGTCTGGGGGCGGGAGGGAGCAAAATATGCCTCAAAATGTGATATATGACCTTTTATTAAAATAATGTTAAATTATGTGTTATTTTCAATACATAATTATTAAAGGTGTTCTAAAAAAAGGAGGGAGGGGAGAAAGACAAGTTGCAGCTTTTCATTACCACACTGCTTCCATAGCACAGCAAATTCTGTCATTAAATACTTCTGATGAAGAAAGGAAGTAATTAGAGACCAAAGTGGAGAGCTTGTAGGTCTATTTCACCTTTGCTCCAGAGCAGAAGTCCCTTTCAGAAAAGGGAAACCTGGGTTTCAGCAGCAATCCGTATTCATTCATTCATTCATTCATTCATTCATTCATTCATTCATTCATCCATCCATCCATTCATTCATTCTGTAATTCCTGTCCTATCTACAAGATAGTAGAATTTGATATGGGGTCGTCACATTTCATCCTATTTATCCTTAAAATGTATTTACATCTGAAAATTTATGTGAGGGCAGGGACCAGTATTTTATTTCAGAAAATATTTTTTAAGCAAAGCAGAAGCCATAGTATCATGCTATAATTTGTGCAGCATCTTGGATCTGATTACCATACAAATGTGTATGGAGACATGAATGTAGCTCTTGCCTATAACTTTTTAAAGCTGCTGTATCTTCTCCCAAGATTGCATGGCTGCGTTCACAGCCCTGCACACTCAGAAGCACATTTCTGAAACAATCTTGAAACAGTGCAGCCCAGTCATAAAGTATCTATGGATTGTATGAAAGATCCGAAGAGGCATTTTATGAAGAAATCAGGGGTACATTTATAAAAGACCTTTCTGCAAGAACTGCAGCCAAAATTATGGTTTCAGATGGATATTTTGGTCATTTTCTAAAGTATCCTGAGAATGCTTCAGCGATATCTCAGATGTATGTATGTATATGTGCACGGGTGTGAAATTTTGGGATTTTTCTATCTTCCGAGAACAAATTGTTCTGGAATTCAGCAGTTAAGACAAAACCCTGATCATATTTGCTATTGAAGTTGGAAGAGTTTCTCACAGTTTGTCTTATTTTTGTTTTAATTACCTCTCATATGATATGGAATTTGATTTGCAGTCCTGTCCCTTGTCTTCTTGTGAACAAACCAAGTGTTCAAAAGCTGAACAGATTCACAATAAAGTACAAAACCTAACAGGATCACAATATGGTACAGAAAACAGATGAGTATACAAACAGTGTATCTCATGTGCATCCACCTTGCCCACTGCCCCATTTTTGGCAGCGTCTACAAATATGCTTGACGCATTTTTAAGTGTTAACACAATTATAGTAAGTGATTAAAAAGCAATTGGGGAAGGGACCCTGGGCAGTGGATGGTTCTAAAATGGCCAGATGCAAAAGTCTATACATTTGGAACGATGCTCACTAAAACGTTTCCCATGTCACAGAAATTAAAACTCTTTAATTCTTCTGTAGTGTGGATCTAAGGGGTACAGAAGCCCATGTGCTTCTTAAAGACTTTGTAAAGATTATCTCATGCTTGGCTTTTATGCTGCCTCATGCAATTTTAAAACTGTGTTAGGAAGTCACATTCTCAACATTAGGAAAAGGTTCCACCGAAGTCTATCTGCCAACTTGTAGGAAGATAAAATGAGGCTCCTTTCCAGCAACTTCTGCCTGCGGGTCCCAAAAGTCAAGGTAGCGGTCTTGAGCATGCAGTTGAAGCCTATCCCTTTGTACAAGTGGGGTGGGAATTCAATCATGCTGCCATAGTACCATCTTGATTTTTTTTTTACTTCCCCTGCCTGCCCCTGTGTAGACATTGCTGGTCCTTTTAGAAGTTTGTTGACTTGTGAATGGGTGTTAGGGTTTTAAAAGAAATCTGTCACTGATTTCTATGGCTGTGTTTTGTAAGCGCTACCAAAACAGACTTCATCCCAGTATAGTTAGCAACTCTTTCCTTTCATCTAGCTACGCAGACCAAAAGTCTATTTGTGAAAGATACATTTTTAAATGAATGTGTTGCCTACAAGCAGAAGAGATTTCTTAGGAATTGCCTGTCTGAACTGAATCAGGAAATCAAGATAAATTATAAAATCAAATTGGATACTTGTAAATCAGTTTAGGCAGCTTGGACAACTGTTACAGTACATATGCACAGAACTGTTTTCTTTTTATACTTTCCAAACCAACCGAATGTTGGAAATAAATTATGTAAAGGTTCTTATCATGTAATTTTGTTGTTGCTTTCCTTTGCTTCCTTTTTTTTTCTTTTCCATTTTTTAAAAAAGTCTGTTCTGTTTAATTAAATAAAGTGAAAAAAAAAAAGATGTTTAAGGACTGTGTCCATCTGTTTGTCTTTCGGAGGATAAATGTCCAAAAATGAAACAAAATTGTATCAAACTTTGCAAATATACTAGGTCAGGTTCAGGGCTGTAGGCAAAACATAATAAAATAAAATAAGGCTATTGATTTCGGTGGACAAAATGCAACAGTACACACACACACACACGCTGACATAGGATGCTGTGAGAAGGAGTGTCCAAGCCTCTTAAAAAGACTTGGATAAAGAAAAAGTGACATAACTCTTAGAACAAGAGTAAGATTAACACAGTTTTGGAGAGTCGTCATAATCTTTGGCTGTGCTCAGTGTCTGCTTAAATAACAAGCTGAAGACAAGCAAAAGGAATAATTGTTCGGTTGAAGTTCTTTCAAATGTCTCAACCGAGCCACAATAATGAAAGCTTCAGAATAAATGATTATGCTTTGCTTCCTTGCACCATCTCGGAAATCTTTGTTTCATATTAGCACCAAATATAAATATCACAAATTTAGAAGGCAGGAGCAAAAGAAATGATTCCATTTCCCACTGCCACCAAGAAAATTGAAAATTGTGAGTTGGCATTTTTTGGCCAGAAACTTTTTTCCTCCTGAGACAGAGTCAAGGGCCAGGAAGTCAATGATTTCCAAGAATTACATGGATAAAGTATAATAAGAAAGGTAAAGGTTGACCCATTGAGATGTTCAGATAACCCATTCTGGTCATTTTCAATAATATGTAACATGGAATTCTTGGGCTAGGAAAAGCTAACTAAATATTACATTCCCTAATTGCAATAATTAATGAGTGGAAAGGTTGTTCTAGGATACATCAGTAATCTGTTCCAGGGAAGGGCTGCCATGAAGATAAAGATGTAACTTTTGTAACAGTTCTAAAATGAAGCTTTACCCAACTATCCTTTTCTATTGCATGTCCTTGCAATCCCTTTGCACTGCTCCTGGGTTGGCGGTGCAACCCTTTGTTCTCTTCCTCATCTGTCTTTGGCAGTTGAGCTGATTAACTTCTGGTTAAGCTCGACTGCAAAAAGAATTGTTCTGAATGCAGCTTTGCAACCAGAACACTTCTCCGCTGGTGAGAACTTTCTCTTCGCTAGCCCCACAACTCTTAGGCACTCTTGCAAAGGTTACAATGCCTTAGTGCCACTTTTATACCAGCCTTTCTAACTGAGAAGAGGGATAGGTTTGCAGATCACACTCAAACAGAGAACTAAAAGAAGGTTTGAGATGGGGAGGGGAGATGGTGTCTGAATGCCAGTTTTTCCACGTACTGGACACGTGTGGGGAGCAGTAAAGACTTTTGTGCTATTTATCTATTTATTTATTTACATATCAAATTTGTCACTGCCTGTCTCGTTAAAAAGCAACTCTGGGCAGTTTACAGAAGAGATAAAATCCATCAAAATACAAGATAAAACAATCTTAAGTAATTAATAAACTCCAAGGGATGATAAAATTGGTGAACAGCTCAGGGAGTGTCATCAGGGTGCCAGCCCCCTGCCCCCCAGGATTGATTACAACTATTGTCACCCCATGCAAGCTGACAGAGCCAGATCTTAAGTCCTTTCTGGAAAACTGGGAGGGTAGGGGCCCACTGCACCACTGGGGAGAGAATATTCGAATTATGCCAATTGTGAGGACAATTGGAATGAGGCTGGGGAGTTAAAACCATAACTGTATGGGAAGTAGTCTTAGATGCATATACAAAAACAGAGTAATTTCTTCTACATTTCCTTAGGTGTCTATTTATAACCATAATCAGTCCAAAATACTTTACAGCATCTGTCTCAAGCTATTTGGGTTCATTACTCAATGAACTTAGAGAAGATCATGAATGTAAAGAATATTTCTCTGACAACAAAGATCAGAATGGTTAAAGCAATGTTTTTACTTAGTCATGTATGGTTGTGAAAACTGGACATTGAGAAAGAGTGCGAGATAGAAGAACAATGCTTTTCAGTTATGGATTTTAGATGGTAACTAAAATACTATGGACTACAAAAAGAACTAATCAATCAATTCTGGAAGAAATAAAGACTGTTCAAGAAATAATGACTGTTCTTTAAGGCAAAGGAACACCAAATAGAAACTCTTATAGTTAGGTCATGCAAGCAGATGATGACTGGAGAAAACAACTCTGCTTGCAAAGTTGAGGGAAGCAAAGGAAAGGGAAACAAGAGACAGGGTGGATGAATGGAATTAAAAAAAAACATTTTTTTTTTTTTAAAAAGGCCAACGTTTGACATCGGAATCCTTGCACCTTCTAAGTGTCACAAAA